TCTCTGTGTAGCCCTGGCTGTCCTGGAACTCACAAAGATCTGCCTGCCTTTGCCTCCGAAGTGCTGTGATTAAAGTCATGCACCACCACTGTCTAGCAGGCTTTTTTTGTAACTAAGTTTTTTAAAAACTTAGTTACCCATTGTCGTGGTACCTGCCAGTAACCCCATCAGTGGGAGGCTGAAACAGGAGAATCACGTGTTGGAAGCCAGCTGAGGTAATTAATCTCAATTGTCAGCTTGAGGAAATCTAGAACCACCTGGTGGTCTGCTGAGTCTAGGCTGCCAGGCTCCAATTGTTCCTTGGTCACACACAGATGGCCCTAGTTAAACTCAGGCACAAAGAAAACAAAAAGATACAAATGATGGGAGATTTGTCAGAAAAGACAGATGAGAGAGTGGGAGGACAGTAGAAACAATTGAATAAAAGTTACAATAAAGGAGAAACAAATAAGTATTTAATAATATGTAGATGAAAACTTTCACAAATTACTAAAATTGGCCCAAGAAGAAAAGGAAATATAAAAGAATACATAAATACTAAAGTTATAGAATTTCTTTTTAAAGACTTTTCTACAAATAAAATTCCTGACCCACAAAGAAAGACTAGCCTAGATAACTGGTGAATTCTATCACATATTTAAGGAAGGACACAAATTTTTTCTCAATTCTTATGAGTCTAGACTTACACCACTATGAAAACCACACAAAGATATTGTAAGAAAATTCTAAATCAATATCCATGTATTAGTTACTTTTGTATCACTAAGTACCTAATAGAACAACTTAGAAATATTTATTTTGGCTCATGGTTTTGGGATTTCAGTCCATCACTATGCAGTGGTGGCAGAGCAGGCTCTTCACATGACATAAGACAGGAAGAAAGAGGGCAGGCCTGAACTGAGATCCAGCTGTGACTTTCAGAGGCCCGCCCACAGTGGCCCACCTCTGCCCCTGCCTCCCAGAAGTCACACAGCCTCCCAGAATAGTGCCATTAGCTGGGTTCTAAGTGAGTAAACCATGAGCCTCTGGGAATAATTCCACATCCAAGCTACATTTCTGTACGAATGTAATTATAAATTACATATATATATATAGTGTATTTATTTTTAAAGATGCTACATATTAACTCAGTTAATTCCAAAATAAAGGGTCAGCTTGACATTTGAAACTAAATTACTGTGGCTATCCAGGAAGAAATAGGAAAAATCATGGATATCTCAGCTTGTTACAAAAAATGGCATTCAATAAAATCTACCACCTGTTCATATTGAAAACTCAGCAAACTAGAAATAGACCTTTTTTTAGCTATAAATTTTTCATTAGAAAAACAGAGTACTCAATTGTAAAAGAAAACGTTTTTTATTTCCTAAGGTAGGGAACTGAGCAAAGATTTTCTGTCAACACCTACACTTAACATCATTCTGTAGGAGATCCTCTAAGAAGCAGTGACATAAGAGAAAAAAAAATAAAAGCATGTGAATTGACAGGGAGAGAGCAAGGACAAACAAGATGTTCTAGAAGGTGAGGCACTTGCTGCCGAGCCTAACCCACAACCTGAGTTACATCCCTCTGGGATCCATATGGAGGAAAAGAGAACCAACTTTCAAGAGTTGTCCTCTGATCTCCACATTAGGTATGTGTATATGTGTGTCCCAGTGAACAAAAATTTTAGGAAAGGAGGAAATAAACCTGTCTATTTACAGGTAGTGTAAATATGTATATTGAAAACTGACAGAAGCATACAACACAAGCTTCTAAAACTAAGTGGCCACAACAAATTTACACAATGTAATAAGTGTATAAAAGTCAGTTATATTTTATAAACATATAATCAAAAAATTGGAACAGCATTACCATAAACGCTTAAGCCAAAGTAAATTAAGAGATATATTTGTTTATATGGAGACTTGATATTGTAATAACCTGTTTTGTGGATTCAACATAATACCAATCAAAATCCCAGAAGACTTTTTACAAAAAGTGACATGTTTGCTCTAATATTTATACCCACAATCAAAGGGCCTAGAATAGCCAAAACAGTTTTGAAAAGAATGAAAGTCAAGGGTGTATATGTATACCCCTGCATTTCACTTTTGGTTGGGTTTTGTTTGGTTTATTTTGGTAGACAGGCTCACAATGTAGCCTTGGCTGTCCTGAAACTCACAAAGATCTGCCTGCTTCTGCTTTCCAAGTGTTGGGATTAATGGCATGCCCCACTATGCCCAGCCTGCATTTTAATTTTTGAGAACAAAATTAAGTCATCTTTGTGAAGTTGGGGAAATGGGTTAGTACAGCACATACCTTATAATCCCTGTACTGAGGAGGAAAAGACAGGGCAGATCCCAGCCTCCATGGTGAACTCTATCCAAATTGGAGAGCCCAACCTCAAAAAAAGTAATGTAGAGAGCTATTGAAGAAGACACACGATGTCAACCTATGGCTTCTGCCTAAGTATGTATGCAGACACACCCCAAAAATATAAAAAGAAAAAATTAAATGAATTTCACAATTGAAGTGATTACAAAGGGTCATTAAATTTTAATGATGAAAGTCGCTGAGATACATAGGACAGCTCTGAAAATTACAGCCCACGGGTTGGTTGCCTGCATCTTTTGAATGGCGGGTGAAGGAATGAAGCTGCTGCTGTTTAATATAGCCTCACTCTCAGTACATGTGTGCAGCCTCCAGACTCCACAAGGAAAAGCAGCAGCAGCACAGCACCTCGGCTTTCCTGGATTGGCCTTTTTGTCGAGCAGCCTCATGATTTTCTTAGTACAGGTATTTTATTTTAAAATATGTTTCTAGACACTTACTCCTGGTAGGCCTGAAAAAATGTAAATTACTTCATGTCTCTTCAAAATTCTTTTCAGAGAAGTGAGTCAAGCTTGATTTGTGTTTTTGAGATAGGTGAAAGTAGTAAGGTTGGACGGAGGAGGAAATCATAACTTGGCTTTTAGTCCTTTGTTGACACCTCTTAGCTTCTGCATTAGTCATAGGTCCCTTCCTTTTTGTCCAGAGAGGGACCAAAGGAATAGGAGGCATTTACAGGTTTGTAAAAGAGCAATGCAAAGAAAAGAAAATAGCTGACACAGAAAAATGTTGTTAGTCCTCCAGTTTTACAGTTGTATTTTTAGATTAATACTTAGTGGTTTACGGATATTTGGGGGCTTGAGGTTTGCTTTTGTTTTGAAAAAGGGTTTTGCTATGTGTCTGTGCTAGCCTAAGCTCACTTACATAGACTGTGTCCTCACTACATAGGGCAAGCTGACCTTAAGCTTGCAGCAGTCCTGCTTCCTCTGCCTCTTGCACGCGTCACCCCACCCAGAAGTGTCTGGATAGTTAGCCTTTTGTTTTGCTCCTTTTTGTTACTATTTTTGACTTTGTAAATGCTTTGCAAAGTTCCTAACCTACAAAGTGAACCCATTTTTAAGGGCCAGAGTTTTTTTAATGTTATAGTGGAGGCCAGCAAGACGAAATAACAGCAGGCAAAGGTGCTCACCTGCAAGTTTGATGACTGAAGTGTGATCCTGAAATCCATATGGTGGTAAAAGGGAACGAGCTCCCTCAAATTGGCCCCTGACCTCATACACATAGATGTGAAGGTGCACATAGACAGACAGATGTCATTTTTTAAAGTGTTAGATGCTGTAGTGAGAGTCACCTAGAAAAACTGGTAGACATTGTTGATGCTGATGCTGAAATGAAGAATTTCTCTTGTTCCGACTTCGGTGTTAATGAGACCATGTGAGTTTTCCACTCTGTCTGCACAGAGTAAGGGAAGAGAAGGCAAAATGTGTTCACACTGCTGGGAGGACTCGATAATGAGGAATTTGTTGAAGAGTTTAGATAGAGATAGTGGTCAGAGTTTATATACCAGCGTCACCAAAAGCCAAGGCTAGAGGGTCAATAGACAAGAGTCTAAGGCTTGTTCACAAAAAGGTTTAGGAATGCCTCAGTGTCTGGCATCTAGAAAAGTGAAAGGGGTGGGAACATTGCAACACTTGCCCTCTAAGGAAAGCTTTGCTTGGTCAGGAAAGGAAATTGAGATAAATTTCTCTCTGCATCTGCTTTGGGTGTTTGGACTGTCCGCTTAGTTTTTTATTTGTATCTATAGAGCTTGATATACAAAAGCATTTTTCACAAATACAGAAGATTTTAGGTAGGCAGGGAAAATATCAATATTACTATCTATATTTCACAGGCAAAAAATATGAGGTATAGAGTTGTTAACTATTTGTTGACAGTCACACAACTGATAGAGTGCTGTTAAAGTGTTGAGTAGATGGCTCAAGTGGGTAAGAGCACTTGGTGCACTGGCATTAGCACCTGAGTTCAAATCCACAGCAACCGTGTATACAGTGGGGTGTGGGAACACGTGCCTGTAACCTCAGGATGGTGGGAAGCAGAGGCAGAGGTTGATGCCAGCCTAGTTAAAAAATGCAAGCTCCAGGTTCAGTGAGAGACTGTCTCAAAGAAAGAAGGTGGAGTATTAAGAGTAGGACACCAACACCCTCTCCCCCAAAAGATAGCACCACACGTGCAGGTGCACACACAGACACACAAAAACCCCATCTATCTCCAGTGGTATTACTGCTTTGCGTAGCATGCACAAAGCCTTGGGTTCAGTCCCTATTAATTTGGGGGGCTGGAGAGAAGGCTCAGCAGATAAGAACACTTGCTAACCTTGCAGAGGACCAGAGTTCATTTCCCAGGACCCATGTGGGGAGGCTCACACCATCTAACTACAGGTAGAGGGAGAGCTAACACCCTCTTCCAGGTTCCATGGCCACATACACGTTTTCTTATGGGTAGGCACATAATTTTAAATAAACAAATAAAAGGTCTGAAAAGTAACATTGTAAACTTGTATAAGAATTTAAGATATTGAGCATTTCTCATTATACCTTTAGGGTCCAGTTTGAGTACTAACAAATTGAAGACCTATTGTCTGTGTGTGGTTTAAGGCACTAAAACTGAGTAACATTTGTTTCATTTTCTAGGAGAAGATGATGTAAACTGGTTCATCAGTGACAAAGACATCGAGGTAAAATCAATTTTAAAAAATATCTGAGTAGTAGGTTAATATTGTTCTTTGCTCTATGTTTCCATTTGTTTTTACTACAATTTTTGAAAAGGAATAAGCTTTTTTAAAGAGACATGTTCCCATAGCTCAGAAGAGAAATTTTGGTTTTAATATGTACGTGATTTAACTTTTCAGAAGTGTAACTGAACTTTGACTTTTGTCAGCTGATGGGTAGCTATAATCATTTAATACCCATTTCTGTTTCTTCTCTGCCTTAATGATTTTTGTAAGCTCCTATGGCATAGTACAAGTAAGGTCTATACCGGAAATAACTGTTTCTTCAGTGTAAGGAAATGGTCAGTCTATATTTAGAATGTGGCAGGTGCTTGTGTCAATTATTAGCCTTATTGTAGCAAATGCTTAAAAAAAATACATAAATGAAAAAGTTGTTTTCAACTTGATAGTCAAGTTTTAAGCTCTCACTACATTGGAGGTAACTGACAATCAGTTCAAGAAAATAACAGGTAAAAAATGAAGCTTGTTCAAAAATGGAATTTATTTATTTATGTATGTGTTTTCTTTTTTTGAGACAGGGTCTCCTACATAGCCTAGGCTGGCCTTGAACTCGAGATCCTCCTGCCCCAGCCTCCCAAGTGTTGGGATTATAGGCATGAACCACCATGCCTGGCTTTAAAGATGGAATTCTGCCAAACAAGATAAGCGCATGGTTGGGATTTGCATATTCTTCTTTAGGTATTTCATATAATGTGCTTTGCTCATATTCTTTCATAGACAGTAGAATTTGACTAGAATAAGAGACAGCTACAATTGGGTTATTCTGTAGCAGAATGTACAAGGACTATAGTGGAAGAATATTATCTCTTAGAAATTATAATTAGTTTTATAGGCAGTAGAGGAAGCCCTGTACTTTTTAAAAGAAGGATATATATTTGGTGGTTATATGGTTTTATAATGTTTGAAAGCACAAAAACATCAAAGTATCATTCCCTAACTAAAACTTTAAGCAAGCCTCTCATTTGTAAATAAATGGCATATATTTAGATGTAGACATTAGCAATGGCTAAATGAAGCCTGTCAGTAGTCCTGCTAGACCCAAAGCCTTAGTGGAGAATAACAAGGGAGAGGGAATCACGTGGGCAAGTGCAAAAGAAACAGAGCTAGCCTCGTGCCCACCTTTACGGGAATGGAGTCTGCTTTGGGTGTTGGGTTGAACATAGGTGTCTGTTCATTCTTTTGTCACACCAAAGTAATGGAACTGACTTAAAATAGGAAGAATAGGTAGGTTTCCTTAAACTGACTGAAATAATTTTAATTCTTGATTTTTTTTCCCCTATCCTTAGGCCAAGATAGGCAATAACAGATCAACTGGAAGATGGACCAACCGATACTATTCAGCCAACAAAAATGTCATATGTAGAAATTGTGATAAACGTGGCCATTTGTCAAAAAACTGCCCCTTACCACAAGTACGTGAGACACATGCTGCTTCTTCCCTTGTTAGACTCAAACTGTTAGGCCTAGAACACTGTGGCCTTAGGTTCAGCTCTTGTTGAAGTATGTTGGATTACAGGAAGCTCGTGAGCCTGGGACAGGACGGAGAGCAATGAGTAGTGTCTGTGTGGCTGTGCAAATCACTTCATATTCTGTGCCTCAACTTATCCTGTCCATATGTTGAGAAGACTGAGTGAAGTGATTTCCTTTCCATTCAAAACTTCCTCCTGTTTAGGCAGCCTATTTCACTATGGGATAATTCTCACTGTTAGAGATTTATAATTGTTTTCTTTATATGTGTGTAGTAATGGCAAAGCAAGCACATCTGTTTGGAACACACAGACTGGATTCTTAGACTTACATGGTGTGCAGTGACCTGCACACACACTCCCTCCGCTGCCCAGCCCCTCTCCCAGCAGCTGTTATAGCTGTACCACTGTTGCCCTCTCTGTTCCTTCTGTGACTTGGTTTCCAGATCTCCTCATTCTGTTTTGCTAGCTATTTCTGCTCTATGACTCTGCCTCTGTCAGACACAATATGCTAAGGAAGTGCCTATGGACATATGTGCAGACTGAAGACTTTGTGGTAGCAACATACTGATTGATAGCTGTGTTCAAGCTCTGACTCCAGGCATTTGTCTGATTTTACAGTTGTGCTCAAGGTTGGACCTTCACTGGGTTTTAAGTTAGAAATAACTTTTTATATAGGAAGCAATACCAGTGCTTTGCCATTTGAGACTTACACGTTTTGCTAAAGCGAGTTTGTGTTTGTCTGCCACATAGAAAGTCCGGCCCTGCTGCCTCTGCTCGGAGAGAGGACACCTCCAGTATGGTTGCCCAGCCCGTTTCTGCTTAGACTGCTCCTTGCCCATGTCTTCTACCCACAGATGCCTTGAAAGATCTTCCTGGAAAAAACGATGTGACCGATGTGATATGACAGGCCACTATGCTGATGTGAGTATTTTTAACATAACTCATTCATCAAGTGTACCAGTTTATAACCATCAGCCAACCTACCTGAAACAATGTTTGTTTGTTTGTTTGTTTGTGTGTGTGTGACAAGCTTTTTTCTGTGTAGCTCTAGCTGTTTTGCAACTCGCTCTGTAAACCAGGCCAGCCTCCAACTCAGGGATACACCTGTCTCTGCCACACAAGTTCTGGGATTAAACGTGTGAACCACCACAGCTGACTTTGAAAGAATGTTTATTTTTCCCTAAATACAATTGTCCTATCCCACTAGACACTTACCAAGCAAAGCAGTGCTTCGAATCTCAGATGTAATCTTACTGAAGAATGTATCAGGAAGAAACATCAACAGATGTTTTAAGCCCATGCTAGCCTCTTTATTTACATTTACTTAGTACATAAAGATTGGTTTTAAAGACATATAGTAACATGTAAAATTTACACATGAATTCATATATGTTTAGATGAAAATAGATGTACTCTTACATGTATATGTGAAACCTGGTCTGATAGTCTTGTCAGTGATTTTTACTAACGGTAAAATAAATAATCTGAGACAATAAGCACATGCCTCCCAGCACTTTAAAAATGCTTGTTTTATTAGGTCTTTTTATATATTTAAAAAGTAACCCAGGCATTGTAGTGTGGCCTCTAATTCTAGCATTTAGGAGCACATGCCTGTAATCTTAGCACTCGGGGAGGCAGAGGCAGGCAGATCTCCATGAGTTCAAGGCCAACCTCGTCAACAAAGGAGTCTAGGACAGCCAAGGCTACACAGAGAAACTCTCTCTATCTCAAAACACACACACACACACACACACACACACACAAACATATAAGTAATTTAGAAAACATTTCAGTTATTTACAACATAATAAAATGACGTATTGGACCTTCTTCACTTCCTGTTGTAAATATGTATGGGATGAAAGGATTGATTCTTAGCACAATTTCAGAGACCAGAAAGGCTGATATTAGGTGAATGTGTCACTAAGCTCTTAATTGCGTACATTTCTACAGAGTAATGGGTGCTTATTTGTACTTAAGAGTTAATTGTTGCTAAGATATTGTTCACATTCTTACCTGAGTGCTGACCCCTGTTGTTTTAGGTCAGCCCTCTTTGTCTTTTCAGTGCTGAGGTTCCAGGCTTGTGCCAGAAGACCAGACCAACCCATGAATGTTGGTCAAGCTACTCTTAACCCCTACCCCACATGTACTTGTGAGCTGATAGTATTTGTTTCTTCCTCGTTTGCTAGGACTCTTTGCAGGCTTCTCCTCTTCTCTGTATGGAGGCCTTCAGTTCACACTCACACCAATAGTGACACCTTCTTCCACCCAGCGTGCCAGTATGGTCCTCTCACCCGGGACTATGGTTTTCTGCCCTTTCACAAAAGACTTCTGGAACCTTGTTGACAATTGATACTTTTAGCATATTATAAGTTAAAAAATCAAGTAGGGGCCAGCAATATGGGTCAGTGGATAAAAGCATTTGCACACCAAACCTGATGCATAAGTTGGGTCCGCAGAAGCCACGTGATAGAAAAAGACAATACTCTCACAAGTTGTTCTCTGACCTCCATACCACAGCATGTATAATTCACATGTACACTGAATAAATATTTTTAAAGTAAATAGAGCAATAGAGTTTAACTTTGTCTTCTTATGCCCATACCTTCATGTCTGTTTTGCTGAACCAGGTACATACCAGTTTGGGCCTGCTGCTGCTGCTGCTTGCACATTCTAAGCTAGCTGACCTTCAAACTTCAGGGGATTTTCTTGTCTCCTCCCATTTTACCACAGAAGTTGCCCTACTTTGTATCCTTGTCTCAGATGACCTGAGTGTACGTCCAGTTGATGAAGTACTAACACGGCAGAGCTCAGATTGCAGACATGTACCACTGCATCTAACTTTTTATGTAGGCTCGGAAATTGAACTTGGGCCCTTAGGCTTGCGCAGCTGCTGTATTTACCAAATAAGCCGTCTCCCTAGTTCTACTTCTGTCCTCATGATAGTTTTAGTGAAAATTGTTTATGTTTTCATTGTTAAGAGAATAAATCCCAAGCCAAGAATTAGTCATTCGTTGGAACTGTTCCCAAGCCAGTTATTTAATAAATGCGTATCTGAACTTTCTGTGATTACGTATTCATGTTCTACATTTTAAATTGAGGCTATGTACCTTAACACCTTTAAAGTTTGAAGGAGAATCCAGCCTTCTTTTGAAACTTTGTTAATCAATTTCCTTTCTCAGCATCTCTAGCTTGAAGAATTCTCCCACCCTTTTGAGCTGTCTTATAGTACATACCTCACTGTCTAGCACTTGGCCCTAGTAGTGAGCCTAGCAGCTTAATGGTATGGTGTCTTTGTTGAAACTAAGAATATGCCAGTAGAGGATAGAGATAGTTAGTTCTCTTTCTCAAGAAGGGAGCCTGTCCTCCTAAGCATCTTCAGTTTCATTGAGAACCATGTGCTGCTAGAAAAGGACTTACTCTTAGTACAGTCCTATGTGAGACTGTGACAAAAAAGATTGGTACCAGAAATTTGATTGTCAGTCAGACTCACTGTACACCTCAACAGCATGCCAGCAAGATAGGTTCCCAGAAGGACAGATGATTTATCTTCCAAGTTTCTTTCCTTCAAGGGTCAAAAACCCCTGGTTACTGCTAAAAAGGAAATGCTAGTGAAAATGCTGTGACCATTATTGTTTTTTTCCCCACGGGGGGGGGGGGGGGGACAACTAAGTTTGAATAAATTAAGCAAGGACATGTTACTTTGAAAATAGGGAGGAATATTTTTGATTTTCACCAGTGGTCAAACTAAAATTTCTGTAGTCAGAAGTTAGCTCTAAGATACAAGATAAGATACTATCTGATCCAATATCCTTTTCTATTATTTTAAAATTGGTGCTAACCAATTTGATTTTTTTCCAGCTACATCTAAATAAAATTGTTTAGCTTATCCTTTCTTTTTAGAATTGTTTTTGTAGTCTTTGCTTTCCTATAAGCTTGAACATGAAGAGTTGACCACTATTCCGTAGAATCTGAGCTGCCTCACTGATGTCCATTTGTCCATGGTCATAAAGCTTCAATAAAAGTACACAGGGCCAATCTCATGTGGCTGTTGTAATAAGTAATAACAGTTGAGTGCTTACTGTTTAGCAGGCATTGTTCTGAAGAATTAATTCTATCAGTTCTAATCATCACAGCAGCTGATGGAGAGAGCTCCAGGAGCCCTGCTTTATAAATAAGAAAGCCGAGACACACAAGACAGTAAGTAGCAGGGCCAGGATTTGAACCCAGACATGTATTTGGTTCTGGCATGTCTAATTTTATCTGCTGTGTTTGTATAATTCATTGTCTTCATTTTTCCTATTGTTTTACTTTGCATCATCCTTAGCTAAAAACAGCACATGTTAGAAGATTAACAGCTGTTTGTAAAATGCACTATGTCTGTCATCTGGAGTCATAGAATATCTCCAGAAACATTTGTGATTCCTTATACAAAGATCATTTAAAAAAAAAAAAAACAAATGCCACTTAAGAGAACAAAGTATCTGTGAGTGTATTGAGATTTTGTGTGCCTGTGTGATTTTAAATATTTTTCTATAAAATAAGGACAATTACATTTTCCAATAAAACTGAAATATAATCTGAGAAACTTTATGCCCTTATAACTGCACTTAACTTAGGAGAATACAAAAAAAATGAATATTTTCTGCAAAAAAAAACAAAAAAACAAAAACACTTGTCAATTTTCCTAATTATAGAAGATTTTGAGTATAGGGACTGATGAAAATTTGACCTAGGATAAAAATGATTATTGAAAAAATGGAAAAAAATATATATATATTATATATACATTACTATATGCAGGTGGTGTATATATGTATAGACATCTTTGTGTTTATGTGTTTTATAGCTTCCCCTTACCCAGAATAGCCAGTTTTTATGCAGAACAGAAATATAGTCAACAACCTTAAAACATCTTAAATTCTGATTGTAGATTTCTGTAATGCTAGTCCTTATAACTGTCTTAATGTAGAATTTTAGTTTAAGCTAAATGTTAAGATAATCTCTTAATTTTTTCCTGAGGTAAATTCCAGCTTACATAAATATGTGCCAGAGGAATCGCATACATTCTCAGTGGTTAGGCAAGTATTTGGGCAGATAGATGACTTGAGGATCTTTATGTGAAGAGTCTGCTGATCGGCTTCAGCATAGGGTCATCCTTTGAAATGAAGGTGCCTAAAACAATGTAAGTGTGGGAGTAACACTGATGGTTGAGCCAGAGACTGGATTATTCTTCTCGCCATCACTTCTTAGTTAACAAATTTTAAGCAAAATGTTTAAACAATATATTCTCTTTATTTTTTTTTTCTATTTAAATTATTCACCATTGATGAACATTGCTTGTTTTATTAAATCTTTTGTTTTGCTACAGTGACTTAAGGGGCCAGCTCTTAACAACGGAGGCTTTGACAAAGCACCAGAGGATTCTGTTAAAAAGTTGTGTTTCGTAATTGTAGTTGTCGTGTCAGAGCCTAACTGACTTGGAGCTGAAGGATTTTTGTGGGATGAGTAGCTGTGCCAGCAGGGACCCAAGTCTCCTGGGCTGGCCGCGCTCTCATTAAGATTTGCCGCTAGCAGTGGCGGTGTTCAGCATGTATGTGACGTGCATTCTGTTATTGTATGCTTGGCTTGTCAGCCTGCAGCTTTCTGACACTCACTTATGTCACTCTTTATTCAGAGAGGAAGAAGCGTTTGATAATTTGACAGGACAAGCTCTTAAACGATCTAGGTCATGGCCTTCACTGTCTGTGATTGTGAACATATTTCCTGAAAGCCCTGTCACTCATCACAGCTACATTTTCTCCCGGGGAGCCCCAGGCCTGTCCTGGTCTCTTGTCAGCTCATACATTTTGGTTATTCATATACCAAATACAGTACTGGGGGTTTTTTTCTTCCCTTTTGCAAATGCTAGCATGTTAGTAAGGCTAATCCTTTCTCCTGTGCTGTGTTCCCAGCAGGGCTGCGTTCAAGGGCTCTCTCTAGTACAAGGCAGACAACTGGCCAAGGGGAGCTGAGGAGGAGGAAAGGCCGCTTAGCGCTGTTTTTGTGTTTGTTCATTGTTGTGGAAATATGAGAACTGGTGGCAAGGGCCTTGTCTGTTGAGCACTTGAGTCTTGGTCTGCTGTCAGGGGCTGTTTAAGATTGAGTGTTTTATTTTCTTTGATGTACGCATTTGAGAATAGGGAAGTGGGAATTAAACAGCAGATGCACTAAGCCGTTGTTCTCATAAAACAATAATTAGCACCTGATAAAATTCAATATGGGTCGAAATGCACAATATAAACTCTCAATTCATCTGGCATAGCAAATTGTGTTGATTCATCTTTGAATTTTATGAATAATAACACTCAGTTATTCATGTATGTTTATTATCCAAAATACAATAGATAGGAAAACTAGTTGGGCAAAAGTTAGTGAACAGTGTCCCACATTGCAGAAACAGATGTACAGGCGCGCTTTGTGTGTTCAGTTGTGTGACTTGAGGATGCCCTTTGGGTCTGTCTACCTCAGTGCCAGTAAGGTGAGAACACTAGGGCAATAATAATCCAGTTGTACTTTGATGTGTTATTATATTTTCATTTTAGATGAGCTGCACAGCTGACTACTCACTCAGTTTAAATATTTTAAAATAAATTAGACCAAGTTTTGAGTTGCAGTAAGCAGCTTCTTTCTTTAGAGATTAATTTATTCCATCTAAATTTTCCATGCAATAGATATATAAACCTTTGTCATTCCGCTTGGTAAGAAATTTTAAGATATCTGTGTGTAAATAATTCTAAGGAATGTTAAAAAGAAAAAGAAGAAGCCACCAAAGCTTTAGCATGTAAAAAAAAAAAAAGGAATTTTAAATGTTAATTAATTAGTACAGTTATATTTTGTACTTAAAATGAACATGTATGCTCTCTACTTTGAAGTGTTTTTCTAATCTTACATAGTATTATGTATAAAATAGTAAAATGAAGCTGTACATAGGAATGTTAAATAAAAGTACTTACAAAATAAGTAGCCAGAGAGAATTTTTTTTAATTGTAGTACCATTGTCTAATAAAAGAAAAGAAGTTTCATGTCTTTCACTACTACTAAATTTCTGTATCAGTCATCATCTTCATGTTCAGAGCAATCAGATGATTGTTCAAAAACCAAGTAATTCTTTCTTTTATTACTAAATTGCTACTACACCAGAAAAGGTCACATGGTAGAGTGGCATTCTGCCAGTCTATGACAACTCAGTGATTGCGATTTTTCAACCGTATTATTCTGAGGATACTGTGGTAATCAAGAACTATCCATAACTAATGTATAAATAACTGCTTGCTTATCTCTATAGTAATCCAATTCAAATTATGTGTATATAGAAAAAAAAAGCTTATGCCAGAAGGTAGGAAATGAATACTTAAAAATACATCCTACATTAGGTCTTTGTATGTAAGTATGTTTGTATTTATTATCCTTAAGAACTTTGGAGCTAACAACTTTGTAGCTATTATTTATTTGGTAAGAACATTGTCTTTACCTCCAGAAGCTACGTTTAATTTTCTAAAATCAGTTTCCTTTCTGGTGTTCATCCAGAAGTCATTGGCATAAGTAGTAGGTTTTCAGGCACTATATATTTTATGAATGTGCCATTAAACTGGGAAACTGACCGCTGTGCATTCTAATTTACACACTTTTCTATAGAAAATTCCATGGGCTAGTTAGGCTTAAAGTGCCTAGTAGTTTGGTGTTTTGTTTTGCTTTGTTTATCTTGAGTTATGTATCTTTTGTGTAATCTCTTATGTGGTATTTTCAGTAAAAATTTTGCTGTTCACAGTTGCTGGCATCAACGTTGTTTTTCTGCAAAGATGGACAACTGATGAGCTAAGCATTGCTGTTAGAGACAGTGTTTCTCCAACAAGCTTGTCGCCATAAAGAGATTAATGTGTGACTCAGGAAAAGGACCTATTGCTGGTGTTTATTGCTGTTGCTTTGTATTTTGTTGTAATCTAATCTAATTTCAGTAAGTTCATCTTTGACAGAATTTTTGAGGTTTTGTTGTTTTTAGATGATTTCTCTATTGATATGAACATGCAAATTTTTGATGTTTAAGAGAAAGGTCAGAGACTTTAGGGTTTTTGTTGTGTTTTGTTTCTCTTTTTTTATTCTCTTTCATTAAGTTACTACCAAATGGTTAAATAAAAGATAGCAGCAGCTATTATAAATAAGTACATAATACAGCGAGGGCTTCTTAAAAGTGGTGCTCTTAATTGTCTTCTGCTGCACCACCAAAGCTCAGAATACTCTTTTAAAAGATTTTAGGTTACTCTTAAAGATTTTGACCACTGTTCTTGAAACTGTTACCAGTTTAACTGAGTTATCATACCTTACTCCCCAAACTTCTAACCTGAGAAAAGGAAGAAGAAAACTTTGTTACTGGCTTCCTGACAATGGCAGGGAGTGTGTTAAAGCAGTGTAAAATTCAATTAAACTGTCTAGCCAGGTTTTTGAAGCTGAAATGCAGACCCTTTCTGTTAAGCTTCTTATTTTCCTGTGACCGACACCGGTGGATGCTGGGTTATGCCAAAACCAACAGGCTGTAAAGTACCTTGTTTCATGCTCCCAGCTGATCAATATTTTTATTTTCCAGGCTTGCCCAGAAATCTGGAGGCAGTATCACCTAACGGTGAGTAAAAACACCTTTTTATTTTCCCCAAGACCCAGCCTATTTACCCTTCTCTGAACTGCTGACCATAAAATATAGACAAGCATCTTCTGCAGCAAGATAATAAACATCTGGAGAGTTTGTACTGAGAAAGCAATAATACGCCTGTCCCTCTCTCCTGCCCACTGCCTGTCCTTTATTTTCCTGTTTTTTAAATTTTTTCAACTGATTTTCATTACTCATGTCATTGAATGATTATATCATGATACCCTCAGGCTTAGACTATATTCATTAAATTAAAGGGGGAAAGTATGCTAGACCCTATAAAAGAGTGAAATAACCAGCATCTTTAGAATACTGTGTTTCCACAGTCCATAGGCATACAACCCACAATTTTATCCATTATCATTTTCTGCTTTTACTCAAATATTAAACATTCTTAAATGAAGCTAGAAGAACCTTAGTGTACCTTTCATATAGCACAGTTCAACTCTCATATCCTTAAAACTCTTTGACTGGTTTGAATTTTATAAATACATACTTAGTGGCCATATTATTCAGTTCTGATTTATTATGGTTTTAGTCTTAGTAAAAGCAGAAAATAACTATTGCTATTATACAATCCAGTTGACTAATGGTCAATATTATGAAGTCAGCTCACTTTGACTCTCCAGTTTATATAATGTTGGTAATTCGCCATTGTCTTGCTAGTTATTTTTAATGTATTAAGTAAGTTGTATTGAGAGACAGTTTATTTTAATTATATAGTTTACATAGAAAAATATAATTAGTTTTTGAAGTTTAATACATAAAAGATTTTGTTTATATTAATACAGGCCCAAAAAGAGAAAAGGCAGTTTTTTTAAAAACATATATTTGCACCACTTTCCTCTATAGACATATAAAGGGAGCCAACAGGTAGAGTCCTCTCCCATTGTTTGTCCAGGCCACAGTGCCAGGGACAGTATCTGCAGGATTATTCAAAGTTTTAAATAAAAGTCATATACATGTCTATATATTCTATATGTACATGTGGCAAATGCAATCAATGGATTTTATTTGTAGTGTTGTAGCAGCTCTTTGGTAACATAATAATGAAAAGCCCTTCTAGCCTAAACCTGATGAGAACAAAATTGTCCTTGTACCTTTCAGGATCATAGAATCTCTGTATAATGGTACAGCAGTACTCTTTATTTTTATTAAGTAATATCGTAGTAGATCTGACTTTGTATTTCTTTCAGCTTTTCCACTAATTGAAAGACTCTTATTGCTGAAGAATAAAAATTAGCTTCAGATTTAACAGAAGTACTTAAAAGGTTTTTTGAGTATTATTTTTAGCTTTTCAGAAACAAATTATAAAAAGAATAGAGTTCTTTTAAAATGAAGACAAAATAAATTCACCTTTATTGGAATATAATATATCCTGTCTGTAAGAATAACAAATTCAATTTGAAAATTTCCATATCTGGAAACCTGGTTAATATTCTTTCAGAAAATGTTGGAATAACCATTGTAATTCACAACTACCAAGTTTTATTTAACAGTGAATTACTATGCAAGAGTAACTGTGAAACTAGTATGCATCTAAGTGTGTAACTACTTTATCAGTCCATCTAAAATCTAATCATTTTCCAATTATTAAATTGCCTTATCAGTATAAGGACAATATTTTGATACCTATAATTAAGCAGTATTAAATACTGAGTGAAAGCAAACTGAATGCTGATTTTAGCCATCTTCAACCCTTTTACTAGGCGATGGACTGCCATCTATTGACTCAGAGTAGCCCTCACATGTGAATGTGGCATCAGTCACAGCAATGGCCACAGAAGGAACTAGGTTTGAATTGCTACTGTGTGTTCATTTCAACCAGCCTACTTAAGGCTATAGAGCAGTCTACAGTTCATTGTGGTCTATTCATTTCTTTTCTAACCAAAAGGCATCTATTTCTAACCCCAAATGAATTGTACTTTGGGGGCTGAATTTATTTTAAAACTCCAGTTTGGAACTGTTGACATTTGAGCACTTTTCACTTGCTGTTGTCTGATTCCCAGCTGATAAGATCTGGGGGGTCATTTCCAGAACAAGTTCATTTTAACAGCTATAAAACAGAGAGCTAGGAAGCCTCTCTTTTATAAACTTGTAAGAAACATGGTAAGGCTAGTTAACGTAAGTAGACTTGTGAAATTTCAAAACTTCCTTAAACTATTACTAAATAAGATTTCAAAAGAGAAATGTTCATTATTTTCAGTAATTTCATCAAAGATAAAACTAAGTCTCTAACATAGTATGCCTAAAGAGCTTTTTAACAAACTTGACTTAACACATTAATAAAGGGCAGATCCATCATTCCAAAAGATGCACAATGATAATGAGACTCTAAGCATGTGGCTTTACTGTTTTTCTTTGTACATTTCAGTGACTAATAAAAAATCAAGACTTTTGATATCTTTGTTGGTGTGGAGGCATACGTAAGGAAAAAAAATTTTAACAATTACATAATTTCCTCCTATTAATAGTTAATATTTTTACTTCCTCAAAAAAAAATATTTTGCTATCTTTGTTGACCTGGAGATAAACATGAAGAAAATTTTATTTAACAATTACATAATTTCTTCCAATAGCTAATACTTTTACTTCCTCAAATAAGTTAGTTTTTAAATGTTTTAATCATATAACCCGATTCTTTACATTGTAACTTCTGCTTTCTGAGTTTTAGCAAAGCCTACTCTTTAAATATTCTTTGTCTTCATTCAGATAGCTCCTTATAGATTATTTGCCCTATCAAGAAAGAAAGTTCCTTCTTCCATCCCTTCATTTCTTATATCATAGTAAAAACTTTAGGCTAATATGGCACCAACAGAGTTTTCTAACCAATAGAATTTTTACCTGATAGAAGCTATAATTTAACATACATTAGACTTTCTTAACCTGCTTACTTAAAAAGTAATCAGGAAAATGCAATTTAGAAGCTGTATGTATTAAGAACCAAAAAGGTTAATGCATCTTTTATGTTTAATTTTGTTCCTGATTTTTTTATGTATTTAAAATGCATTTATAACCTTTCTACTTCTTATTCTAACTAAAAATGTCTTAATAAGGAAGTAGTTGTAATTTTCGTAAAAGGGTTAAGTTTTAAATGTTAATTCATAATATTTGGAACGCTTAAATTTACACTTCAGAAGAGAAATAGATTTCCTTGCCTTCCTTTCTGGCCCAGGAAAGGCTTGTGGTCAGAACTTACTGGCAATCAAGTGTTAAGCCCCTGAGCACTGATGGTAGAGTGTGTCTCACAGACTGCAGTTAACAGGGCCCCGTTTTGTTTTCCATCCACTCTCACCTCACAGTGTTTTCATAGTATGAATTTTACCAATGAGAATTTTACCATCTAAAGAATTCTGTGCTGCCGGCCACAGAATGGTACCCAAAGATCAGCAGACTAATAAAAGAAAGCTTAACTTTACAACTAGTGTTTGCAGTCCAGGAGGAAAGAATAGGGAAATGAATGTAGGCGCTGAAGCTACAGCCATTCAGAAGATATCTTTATCTTGGGGCTGAGGTGTAAAGATAGGGTAAATATAATTTTCTAACTGTCTCATACCATGTTATTCTTTTTAAAAATCTTAAAATAAAAAGCAAAATGTTTTTAAAACTCAGCCTCAATGGAGAATTTTTTGTATTCATTTTTTTTTTTAAAGAAGCTTTCTTTGAATTGGGTAGGTGTTAGGAGTTTTGAGGGACTTTCTGAGAACTTCTTAGCTACCGAGCAGACCTACCAGCCATGAGCGCACTGCCCACACACTGCTCAACTGAGAGGTCTTCATCTTTCCTGTGCCTGTTTGCACATGTCTGTGCAGCCCCGGGGTGTGTTTAGGAAAATAGAATTGTCTTTTCCAAAATAGAATGAGATATAGTTCACACTATTAAAAAGCAAAAAATTATGTCCCATTTTTAAGGCCTGACAGAAGTTATCATAAACAACACTCTTATGAATTCATTTGGTAGTGCAATTCACTTTGCCAACTCCCGGAACCAAATATACTCATAAATTGTAGGGATTTTTCTCTGGTGCTGCTGTGTCAATGTTTTGGTGGTTATATTGCTATTAAGGCACTGTTATCTGTAAAAATTTAAATTCAGCTTTATTTAAAATCCCCTTAAATACTGAAACTGCTGAATTTAATGTGCCATGGGCTGGTGGTTGAGAAGACACATGTCTCTTTTGTAGTACTTGAGGATTATATTTTTCTTCTAGGACTCTGGAGTAAACCAGGCTGCTTTATTTCTTCCTAAAGTTGCTTGATATCTGAAAAATAAGATTTGGTTGGTTGGTTTGGGATACTGGGTCTAAACCAGGGTTCCATGTGCTAAGTGCGTGCCCTGCCACTGAAGTGTACCCCAGCCCCAGCAAGTTTTTTTTTTTTTTAAAGCATTGATGATTTTTATAACAGAAAATGCATTTGGACAGTAACATGACAAAATTTTTAAAAGATTTTTCACATGGAAATTTTATCTAAAATAGTTCAGTTTTTAATATTTTAAAATATTTGTCCTGCCCTTCATGTCAAAATTATAATGGATTTTTTTACTTCAATCTTATCATTTTAACTTACTATATAAAAAGTAATTACTACATTTAAAGAGTTAAATAACTGATGTTTTTTTATATAGTATTTCAGTGACATGCCAGAACTAATCATTGAAAGCAATTAGGAAATGCACTTTCAAAGAGGGTGAAACCTGGAATTATTAATCTCAATAAATGAGATTCATTTTAAAATAAATATAATTTGCCAAATCACCAAAAAGCAATTTGCTAAAGCTCTTCCTATAAAGGAAAGTGGAAAAGTGTGGACGTTGTACATTATTAATACATGTTATTTTTCCTTTTATGTTTCTGCAAGTCATGCACACATACTTATTTTTTTTAGTGAAGGGTATAATAAAATAATTTAAATCTGGATATAACTTAATTTATTGAAGCATATGTTAGTATTTCTTCTTTTGAAGGAACCTGAGGT